AAGAGGGAGCAGAGCTGAGCCCGGGAAGATCAGAGGGTTGGGGGGAAGGTGTGTTGTTTTTAAGACCTGCTTGTGTTTCTTATTATCTTTGACGGTGGTGGTTGTTCATTAAATTGATGTTCTCCCCAAGTTTAGTCTGTCTTTGCCCGTGACCACAACTGGTGAGTGAGCCCTCCCTGTCCTTTGTCTCAACCCTAGAGCCTTTTGGTTGCATTTTCTACTCCCAATCCCTCAGGGGACACTAGGGGTGAGCAAGTGGCTGTGAGGTGCTTTGTTGCCGGCTAGGTAGGCTCAAACCACGACATCACGAATTTTAAAATATTCTTGAGGCACAGTATAGACCTGGGCTCTTGTAGCATGTCTTAAGCCCTCTCAAACACGGAAGACATGTCTAACTGCAGATGTCTCACTCTCTATTCAAGGAGACACAGAAGAAATCCATCAGGCTAAAGAATTTCAGCATCACCCTAGGCATTTCGGTGTTCCTCAATATTAAAAAATTGAAGGAGGCAGTCCTCCATTAAAAGCCATTCCAATAACGTGACTTGCAGACCAGAAGTACTCAGTGTGGTTTCAAACTTTGTGGATTAATAGATACAAATGCTTTCAGGAGACCAAAGATCTCCAAATGCTATGCAGTGAGGCCACAGGCAGGCCATTTTAGAGGAAACTAGACATAAACAGTCGGAGAGAAGCTTATTTGGTCATAGGAAAAAGTTTTATCTCTTGGAGCAGTATACAGATCTCTGTAGACGACCCAAACCTAAACATCTAACTGCAAGTTCTAAAACACGGTAAGACTTACTACTTCCAGATTTATAGCAAAATAATGAAATGCTGTCTTACAAACCCCTACTATCCTTATGAGGGAACTGATATAATATCCTTTCTTCAGGTGTCTCAACATCAGAGGTAGGTAGTTCACTACCACCACCTATAGTAGTACGAATTCACACAGGATCAGTTAAAATTCTACTGAGAAGCAGACAGAATCTGTGATTTCCCTACTGTGATAAATAACAGAGATCTGGATCCCTACTACTGAAAGGTCATCTTGAGGAAAAAAAAGGGTTGCCTGGCCTTCTAACTAATATGCTAATTATTGTCAAAAGCAGCACATTGGTATTACTAATGTAGTGGTCTTTTGTGATGGAGTAACTGCATCAGTGGACATGGGAAGAGCTATGGATGTCATCTATCTAGACTTCTGTAAGGCCTTTGATACGGTTCCCCACAACACTCTTGCCACTAAATTAGAAACATAAGGGTTTGACGGACAGACTGTTAGAAGGATAAGGAATTGGCTGGACGGCTGCATCCAAACAGTTACACCCAATGGCTCAATGCCCAAGTGGAAACCAGTAACAAATGTGTCCTTCAAGGGTCTGTACTGGGACCAGTACTATTGAATATTTTCATCAATGACCAATAGACAGCGGGATCGAGTGCACCCTCGGCAAGTTTGCAGACAATACCAAGCTGAGTGGTGCAGCTGACTTGCTAGAGGCTTCCCTGTAGCATGCCATCCAGAGGGATCTTAACAGGCTTGAGAATTGGGCCAATATGAACCTCATGAATTTCAACAAGGCCAAATGCAAGGCCCTGCATCTGGGCTGGGTCAATCCTCAATACCAGTACAGACTGGGGGATGAATGAATTGAGAGCAGCCCTATGGAGAAGGACTTGGGGGTGCTGGTGGCTGAAAAATTGGACATGAGCCAGCAACGTGTGCTCGCAGCCAAAAAGCCAATCACATCCTGGTCTGCATAACAAGAAGCGTGGCCAGCAGGTCGAGGGAGGTGATACTACTCTACTTCACTCTCGTGAGACACCAGCTGGAGTGCTGTGTCCAGCTCTGGGGCCCTCAGCACAAGAAAGACCTGGACCTGCTTAAGTCAGTCCAGAGGAAGGCCACGAAGACGATCAGGGGGCTGGAGCACCTCCCCTACAAGGACAGGCTGAGAGAGTTGGGGTTGTCCAGCCTGGAGAAGAGAAGGCTCTGGGGAGACTTTAAAGCAGCCTTCTAGTACTTAAAAGGGACCTACAGGAAAGGTGGAGAGAGACTTTTTACCAAGGCCTACAGTGACAAGATAAGGGGTAACAGTTTTAAACTGAAAGAGTGCAGGTTCAGATCGGATCTAGAGGTGGAATTTTTGTCTTACAACGAGGGTGGTGAGGCATTGGAACAATGCCCATGAAGTTGTGGATGCCCCATCATTGGAAGTGTTTAAGGTCAGGTTGGATAGGGCTTTGAGCAATATTATCTAGTGAAAGATGTCCCTGCCCATGGCAAGGATGTTGGACTAGATGATCTTTAAGGTCCCTTCCAACCCAATCCATCTATGATTCTATGATTTTAAGTATTAGTGCAGTTGATTGAACAGAAGCTCCTGATTCTCCTACATGTTTTGTTGGATCTTGTAGACTATTCTGGTATACTTTTACCTACCATCTCAACATACTACATACAGACAACCTTCAAGGACTGTCATTCCAAGTGTGATGGGCAGCTGATAACTAAGGATTAGTGTTCACTGTTATTTAAATATTTAAAAGTAGGTATCTTCATTTTCAACTCTGTCATGACATCTGTGGACAGAACCAGTTCTAAACTCTAACTAGATTACTAATAAAAAGAACCTCATCATAAATAAGCTCATTTTTTCATAACTAGATATAAGACACTAAATTTGAATCTTTAAGCAAGGATCTGGATACACTGCTTCAATTATGGGTGAAAAAAGCCAGAGCTATCATCTCTCTTTTTCATAGCTTCACCTCTAATGTTTGGAAAAGCTCAAAACCAGACAGGATGGGTATGCAAGTGAGCATGCTATAAAAAGATTCCACAGAAGAGCTACAGTAACTGATAGAACTAAAAAGAAGTCTTATTAGTGGAAAAATTGAAATAAAGTTATAGAAAAGGTAGACACAGAAATTACTGTTAAATAATGAGTGACTTCATATAAGAAGCCAAGTTCAATATAAAAAGCTGATAGTGCCCAATTATGAATCATGGTTTTGTCACACAATAGATCTTTCACCTCACATTGACTTTAAAAGACAGTTTACCACTAATATTAGGTAGACACTAATGTTTCTAGAAATATTTTTAGGAAGTTAGGATGAGAAGGAGCTTTTCCCACAGATTACTACTGATTAGCAAGGAGTCTGTGTGCAATGTGTAACCGAAGCCAAAGCATTTTGCTGCGAGATGTTACCAACTTTTACATGACACAATAATGAAAGACAATGCTAGAAATGCTAAAAATACAATGCTATAAAATATAAATATAACTTTTAATTTTTTTTCTGAAAGATAATTATGTGAGATGTTAACCTGAAGTCAAGAACAAACCTTAAAAGCCATTGTGAATAACGATAGAGTATCCAGAATTGTAAGGCAAACTTCAGTGGCAATATTTGCTTCAAGTAAAGACTGGTGAAGAACATCTGCATCAGAATGGCCATAGCCTACAGAAATTCCAAATGAAATATAAGTGCTGGATATACTCATTTAAATGTTTCTTATTTCCAAAAGACTTCCTGAACTAGAAAAAGATTAACAAGTAAAAAGCCTGACAGAAGTTAGTATTCAATACAGAAAAATAAATCATATGCATTTAAATATTTTTCAAATACGTGCATATAATTTACACAAGATCATAAAATATATTGAGTACAAATGTCAACAGCAGAAGCATTAAACAGCAGTTAAAACAATAAATGTCTGATGTTTCATATATATGTATGTATACATACGTGTATCTATATAAATGTACACAGTTATATATACACACACACATATACTTAAAAATAAGTACTGCAGTAGGATGGAGTTACAGCTGAAAATATGCATTGGTAACTTAGCAACGCTATAAATGATCTCAAAGTCAATCATAAGTCAACCACTCTAAAAATACAAAATACTAAGAGTTGAAGGAATACAATCATGTACTTATATGCAGCTGAAGATCCAAGTTAATTAATTCTGCTCTGTAGCAATACCATGCAATAACTCCATATTTTTTACCACTTCTAGCTCCATACTGTATTTAAATAATTTAAAAAGCATATCCTGCTTCAGCACTGGTTATAGTATGTTTTTTATGTTCCCTAACATTGATCTTTAAGAACCAGATTGAAAAATGCGCCCTGGTTGCGTTATAAAAACTTGGTCTGGATCATGTTTATGTTAGATTTACAGTCAACTTAGCATCACTAAATCAATGACAAGCATGCCAAACTTGTTGAGACTGAGAAAAGAACAGAAGAAATTACATATTCTTTTATAATGACACCTGGCCACCTCTTTCTGCACCTTCTTGCTTCCCTGGCTGAACGACGCATGCATACCCACAACCACCTGTTTCTTTGGATTTATACATTCTATCTGTTAGGAAGTATACACCTCTTTCCTATCATTTTTTGCATCCTCTGCCTTCACTTCTTCCTCCTCCCATTTATTTTCTTTGTGGTTTCAATCCAACTACTTCCCTCACCTCTGTAATAATGGAAAGGAACAACTGGCATTTGGAAGCAAGTTTTACAACAACAGCCATTTGTTAAGTATTTTTCTTTTACTAAAAGTGCTCTTTTCCTTAAATAAATTAAAAGAAAAATCCTTTTTCATACCCATCAACTTAGGATGACCAGAAATCCTTAAGTTAACCTGTCGTTTTGGTCATGTTGAAGATAGCAAGAGATTACAACTATTTTGAGAACTGTATTGAGGACAGGGGAAATGTTCTTTAAAGTTTAAAGCTCTTCTAGTTAAGAAGAAAGGTGCAAGGTTTATTATAAATAGTAAGTAAAAACTGTAGTCAACGGACAGGTTTCCAAACAGTTCAAATTTTGTTCTTCACATAAATAATTTAGAACAAACAAATAAATAAGCCATTGATTGATTACTCTGCATTATTATTAGAAACAGAAGTTTTGGGCAGAATGTAAACTTAAAGGAACATTCAATTCAACTGAGTTAAAAGACTGATTTAGTAGTGCTTTCTCCATATACATGCTAAACACTATCCTTGTTTCAATTTGCTATTATTTTACAGAAACTAATACTGTATTCATGTATAACTAACATTGGATTTTATTTTTCACATGTAACTTAAAAAGAAACTATGGAACTACAATTACTGCATATAATATGAACATCTGTCTGGACACACACATGAACATGCACCCATACATGCATGCTACTGCAGAGTAACTGGATTTAAAACCATCTAAGAACACTGAAAACAGGACAATCTCAAGCTTCACAATGATCATATACTGCTATTACAGATCAGGGTATATCTCTTCTATTTCAGTACTTTTACAAGTCACTTTCTACTAAGCATCATCCTCTCCTCCAGCCCCAACAATACACATAGAAATCTACATTCTTGTGGTTCGTATTGAGATGCTTTAGAAATTTGAACAAAGGGCCTAATTTCTTTCATACTTAAGCACAAAACTATACTGAAACTCCTCAGAGATGTGAAATACCACTTACACCATTACTTCAGTTTTATTCCTTGCTTAAATTAATAGAAAGGGAGAAATTAAGTTTATTTACATTTATAGACAACTATCTTGCCGAAGAATCATGGTTTTAGAAGCAAGTAAGGCAACTATTTCCACCAGATAAATCCTTCCTGTACGTATCCCACACTGGATACCAACAAGATTTATTCAAGTTCTGAAAACTACTTTGGATACACAATACAGGCAGACTGACAACTAAACAAAACTACAAGTTAGACGACAACAAGACCAAAGATATAAAAATCAATTTCACATTTGACATGGCTTTTACAGCAACGTATTTTCACTTGTTCAAAACAAGATGTAATATCCTGATATTCACAAAATGTCCATTATTAAAAAACCACTACTATCACTTTATGCAAAGTTATCTAAAGGAGACACCTTCCTTCATAATTTCCTTCAGATGGAAAAGAACAGAGTTTCTTTTTACATAAGCATGCATTTATTAAAATCTTTCAGCTCACTGTTTCCTAAAAATCAGTAAACTTTGCCAAGTTCTGGAAGTCTGAAATCTTTTTGCACAGGGCCCAGAAACAGCCACGTTATTTATTTCCCAGAGATTCTTTAAAAAAAATCAGGTTTTATCTACAAAGTATTTTACCTTACTGAATGTGTAGTCACATAGAGTAAAAGCTCTTTCTTTTGTGTATTGAAAAACATACAGAAATCATTACGAAGCATCAGTAGCAGACTGATTACAAGGAAAAAAAAATGCAATTGGCAGAGCTATATAGTTTTCTGACTTTTTTAAAAGAAGAGAATTGCATTTCTTATAGAGAGCCAAGAGAATGCATTTATAAACAGAGAGGTTTTGGTGGGAAATCTTTTTTTATTTCAGTTTTCCACTAGACTATGTGGTAAAGCTGGTGCAATTAGGCTAACTGTTGCTTTAGATTACAGATAATGAGCTAAAAGACTTTAAGGGACAGTTAGATATGCTTTGGGAAATAAAAGGATGAACACAGTGAACATACAGTTAACTCAAATAATTGCTTTACTGCACACAATTCTTTTCAGTACCAGTGTTGTATTTTACTGGATTAGTCAACCAGTTTCATTGGGTTTTGAAGCTGAAAATTGAAAAAGCGCGCTTCAAAATACTTTACATACAGTATATTTTGCAATTTAAGAGCAGTATGTTTAAAAAGATAGGCCACAAGCAGATTTAGTTTTCAATACAGCAGTCTTATACAAGCTGACTTCAACCTGATTAAATCTTACCATTGTCTACAGAAATTCCAAGAATACTTGATATCTTTCTCACACTGAAAACAGAAAAATCACTTCATTATTGAACGCTTTTTCACTTCCAGACAAACCAAATCATGGGCTTCACAATCTCTGTAGAAATTCTAAGAAACTTACTTCTCCTTAGGGGATGTCAAAACATGGAGATATGGTCAGAATGCATATATGACTAATCATTTATAAGACCAAGTGAGAAAAAGAAATGAAACTTAATAAAGCAAATGGAAAAAATAAGTAAATTTTGTAACTAAGTGCGGCACAGAGTTGAAGTGCATATAACTGAAAAAATTCAAATACAATTTTAAAATATGCTGTAGTTAACCATGCTCCATGTTATGGCATCAGCCAGCATTGACTGTTCTATATAAAGCAGGGAACAGACCATCGACTGATTCCAGCTATTCATTTGACCTAGAACAATAAAAGTCATTGAAATGCACTGGTGTGGCTCTGGGACCTGTCGCTGGTGTTGTGGTACTGGTTGAGGATGATGAATGTTATCATGTCATGAGACTTACTGTGGTTAAAAGTGAGAGAGTTATCCAGGCTGCTCAGCTGCTGCAATCTGGCATGCATCATTCCTGTTCTGTTACGGGAAACAGGCAATGTCTGAGATTTTCGATCATGAACTATGGATCCCAACCCCTCCTGGTTCCTGCAAGATGGGTGAAATAGGATAGAAGCAAAAGTTAGACATGTCAAACTGCAGCAAGACAGGAAGCGTTAGTTAAGCACAAGAAGTTTTATAGAAAGAATTATAATGAAACCTATTTACTGTTTTATTTATAAAACAAAAATAGGTAGGTAGCTTAAAAAAAGCATCACAACTCTTTCTTAAAACCTCAAAGCATGAAAGCAAAAGCACAAAGGCATGAAGTGCTAAATTTACTCCAGAGCTTTTGAGAACATAAATATTTGAGAACGTAAATATTCTGAAAATATTCAGAACCCAAAACCAAATCTACTACTTTGATTGTAAAAATTTTAGAAAAAAGTTAGAAGGACACACAGTGGTAAAATTAGAAAGCATACATGCAACAAAAAAAGGAATTAACTGAGGTATTATCATGTATATCTTACCCAAGCAGGAAGGGAGAAGAGCCATATACTTTGTTAAACTTGCAGCAATCAAGTGAAGAAAACAGAAAAGTGACCTGTGTTAGCAATCAGTACAGGCTAACTTCCTATTGTGTACCACCACCAGAGCTGATGAAAAATGAAAACCAGTGCTTGAATTACAGAATTCCCTGTTTCCTTTCATTCTCTGTCATTTGTGTATTTTAAAAGTACGTGCATTGATTGTGATAGACTTCAGGGTAATGACAATGTGAAATACTAGAAAGATACATACACTGGGAAAAATCACTGTCTCTGAAGAACACCAGATGATTTCTATAGCTTAACGTTTTTAGCATTAACATGCAGTACACAGACCAGGTGATCAGTAAACAAAAAAGAAATGTGTGGTAGTCTTCTCTACAAACTAGTCAAACAAATTAGCTTGAAGAATTTTTACAAAATTTTTATAGACTCCTGTAAATCCAGAGTTTGAAGTACATTTAAACACAAAGGTTACAATCAAAACTTTAAGAAAGGCAGGTTTACTTTGGCCTTTTTTTTTTTTAGGGTATGTGAACAGAGATGAGAATTTTTTCTGAAAAATCTCCAAGGAGATAGTGAAGTCTGTTGTTTGTAGAAAGAGATTCACATACCATTAAATCTAAACTAAACCCAAAAAAGCTAACATTTTAGTTAGAATGCTTTACCACCTGAAGTCAGCAACAACTTTCTTGCTGAGCTCAAGAGGGCCAGTATTTCAACCCCGCAAGTTTAATTATAACAGCATTACCATGTCAACCACAGGGTAAGGCCTAAACAAGTTGCTATATTTTATTCTATTAAAAGACTACTTTGCATTAAAAACCACATTAATGCAAAGATATAATGCAAAGACAGATTTTCTCCTAAACAGCCTTCAGTGGGAACGTACAGGTATCTAATGGTACTTCAGACTTCAAATTGAAAACCAGCGGCATTGGAATGTTTAGTACTCACCTTTCAGTAAAAACACTACATGTAACATTTCCAAAACATTTCAATGGATATGGTTTTATGGCCAAGTGAATAAACAAAACAAATCATAAAATATTCTTCCCATATAAAAGGCACTATTTCAAAGAAAAAAATGCTGTAAAAGATAGCACTTAAGGGATAGATTTTAAAGAAATTGATAATAAACACAACACACACACATCATTCTGAGACAGATACCAGACTTTCAGACAGGATACAGATTTGTTAATATAGTAACCTGTTACTTACTTCAAACTGTTATGCATTATTTCACAATAACTCTTCGACTCATGCAATTTATTTGTAACAGAGACTCAAGGCATACTGTACACACTTACTCCTAGCGAACAAGACAGTGAAATTTAAATTCCACACAGTACCTGGCTATGTATCGCTTTCCCATGTACTGGAACTGATGTAAGCATACTCTGCAGAGAACACATAAGTCAGAAGCAAAACTTAAACTAATTTCTTCTCGTTATATACATTGGAATTATTCAACTATTATTTTTGTTTAACCTTAAATTCTTAAGTCATAAAATTTCTTTATTTCTCCCACCCTTAAAATTCCTTTCCAGACCCCAAGCCAAGAAAAAGCAAGCAGGGCTCTTCTGAAATCAGTCACAGATGGCTGTTGTTTTGAGCAAATTGGGATTAACAGCAAACAGCACATAAAGCTGCCTCTGGAGTACACCCACCTCAACACTGAATCAAAACAGCTAGTGTGAGTCTAACAGTGACAACGTAGAAGGGCCAAATGGTAAAAAAACCAAAACACCTTAGAAAACTGTAAACAGTGAGTTCATCAAGTGCTTCATCTTGTATTTATTTTTAATATTTATAGAAAAGACATGTTTAGCCTCAACTATCATAGAAAAAATTCCATCATGTGAAATGAGGCCCACAGTTACAGTTATTTGCAAATGAACAGCAATCCAGGACAAGTAACATGAAGGACAGAAGCAAAGCGATAACCAGACATTATATATATACACATATTTTGCAAAACGTGTATAAGGGTTCAAAATAAGAGCAACACATTTTGCTTTTTTTCCCCTTGGCCTAAACTCTCTTGGTTACAGGTTGGGTTTTTTGTCTTGTGTTGTTTTTTTTAAGGTCTCTAGATTCCAGGATAACAACAACAGGGTTTCTGACAGACCTATTTTCTAAAGGGAATCTGCTTTTACAACAAGAAAGTGATAAAAGCAAATCCCCCAAATTAATTTTTAATTTAAAAAAATCTATACTTCAATATGATATAATTTTTTAAAGAATCATAATCCTACTGGTTCAGATCCAGCAAGAAAGTTGAAAGTATAATCTAATTTGCCAGGTGCCTCTGCTTGTCTTCACAACTGGTAGGTATACAACACTGACAACTAATAAACTAGAAGTTACATTTTCAGATCAAGAAAAATGGTGTGAATGGAGGTTGTAATAATTAATTTTGTTGTTGTTGTTGTTGTTGTTTATTTGTTGGGAAACACTGTAAGTAATTACCCTGATAATTCAGAACATTTAATGCAACTTCCCTGGTCCCTTGGGTAAGAATATTCTAAAAGTTCTTCTTTAAAGTGTAAATCCAAACTGAAGCCAGTTTTCAGGCTTTCTCTTCCATATCCCAGTCATGAATGAGGAAGAAGACTGGCAAATATTCTCTTTAACTCAGCTCCATTTTGTACTGAGACCTTAAGTAGATCAGCTATCTCCAAACTGCAGAGTCAGAATGGTGCTTGCCTCCCTCAAACTTGTCACTGTATTTTCAAATTCTGTTTTCTGGTATCTTCTTGTCTTTTTTGGATTCTAAGTTTTTCAGAAAAAGTTCTTTGCATGGCAAGTATCTACCTATGAGAAACACTGTTACTGAGGTAATGAGAAACTACTGTAATTACCTGTATTAGTAAAAATCATCATCAAAAGGAATGCCATTTGCATTGGCAAAATGCTCCTAGAATTGGAAGAGGCAGACCTTTATGAGTCTTGTTCCTGCTCTAGTTTAAGGAACTGTGATATCATCCACTGCACTAACGGGATGGAAATTTTATTCTGTATTCCATATACTGCTGTTGTGATAGAAATCTTCGATAATTAGTAATTTGAGATTACTGATTTGATTACAAACCAATCCTCTCCAGCCCTTAAATAAGAAGTATGTAATGGCAAAATACCGTTCACCATTGATTCTGTACAGTTCACACCTCAGGCTTCAGAGAGTCTACTGAGTGGGTTTATTTACTTGTTCAGTTCTGTCTCTGGTACAATAAATATCATGCCAGATATACTCAAATGAGGAATTAAAACACTATCTACAATATATTCTTAAACAGACTTTGAGTAGCACATTCCATAACACAATTAACGACTGGTATGACGTTGATTGAGCCTCTACTACAAGAACAAAGGAAAGCAGCCCAGTGAAAAAAAGCAAGGCAAGCAGAAAGGCTTCTGTGGGGCACCACCTCAAGCACACAGCGACTTCCTCACTTTTTATTAATGTATTAGTCAATTCTCATGAAAAACACACTAAGTGTGCATAGGGATGGAATGTAACCATTGATAACAAATACTGGATTCATCCTTTATCTTTTCCCTTACAGAATGGCAGATGACAAAAGAGGAATGCTAGGACAGTTCATATCCATTGTTTCTAAAGTTACGCAATTCTATCAATTTTGACATGCAACCATATAATTTTGGCAGCTCACGTTACAAGATGCATTTTAACGCAGACAGGTAACAAGACAGTTGGCTCCTCTTCCACGAGCACAGCAATATTCTGAGCACCACTCACTGTTTAGGAACTTCCTGAGTGCTGTTCTGTATAGCCTGATTCCAGAAACTATCATGGAATTGGACAGACATGCAACGTGCACATCAAGTTAAGGACTTCTAAGCAGACCATGATGGCATTATTTTTTCAAACAAATAAATAAAATTGTGTACACACACTTACATCCACACTCACGTTTTCAATAGCATAACTATGTATGATTTTATGACAAGCTCAACAAAAATCTTACTCTGTAATCGTGAAAAAGTCCATGAGTTCAGATTTTGTAGCCTTGTTCCAATATGTAAACAATGCATCTAGGAAAATGAAAAATATTAAAAACAAGACCAAGGCAGCAAACACACAAAAACACGAAGTAGAAGAGTTAACATCTGTTCTTAGTTTTCAGATAATCGGGATTTAGAGAATCTAAAACAGGCTTGTGGGGTACAGATAACTATTACTATTTAAAGTTTCCCTTGAAGCTAATTATACAAACGCACATATCAGTTCTCCAAAGTTTCTATAATATGTTTTTGATTAATCCATAATATTCCCATAAATGTCATATTTTAAATAGTAATAATTGTGCAGCCAGTAATGACTACAGTGTTCTAAAAATATAGGTGTTCAGAATACTTTGGACTGTTAGTCCTACAACCTGCTTTTTTAGAGACTGCTCTCAACATTTTTTAAATTCAAAACTATGATTTCTTCTTTTTAAATTTACAATGCTTTTACTATGGATAGTTTTTCAGCACAGGTTTCAGATTTTCTTTATTTGCACAGATTTCAAAAATGGTTATATGTTTTTTACAGAGCTTGTAGCTACCTAGCCAAAACTTGGTCTCTTTTGCCAAAATGTTCAAAATTAGCTAAGAAATTCAAAATTATTACAAAGATGTGTGGCAAAGTTTATTTGACACTTATCCTTTTCCAGGAGAATTGGGACCAAAAAATCCACACTGTGCTTAGGTAAATTAACTTGAATTTCCTAGAAATTCTGACTAATTTTTACATATTTCAAGGCATAAAACATTGCAGAAGACATATTCTTTGTAATTAAAACATATAAAATAATATCGATGTAATTACATGAAAATCTAATGGTGTGACTGGATATTGAATACTTACTACCTTTTCAATTCTCATTCTTGATTAAATGGTGAATAAATTAGAGTTCAAGTACTACATAAACTTGATTTTTAGAAATTAGCATTAAAGTAGGCACAGGAAATAAATTAACTACTTTTGATATGTTTAGCACAAACTGAAAAATTCAATGTTTTTACCAAAACAGGCTTGCCCTCTTTTTAAAAAATTGGTCAAGGATAGGGATTATTTTGAGTTGTATGATCCTAGTAAAAAATTAAGATTTGCCATTCACGCAGTATTTCCACACCTCCGCAAACCTCTCCAGGACAATATGAACACTCAATAATTCAATGGATGTTCTCAAAAACATCCCAGGAGAATGAAGAAGCACTAATATCTCCATTCCAGAAATGGAAATATACACAGCAGTCAAGTAATTTGGTTCCCTGTCATACAGGAAGTTCTGCAGAATGGAGGAGTGGACTAGCCCGAGACTCCCCTACTGATCAATGAACTATTCTTCACCTCCATTTTCCAAATTGGACTGTACAATCACATACAAATATTTGCTTTCTTACCAAGTCCTTTAGTTAGCCTCACACTTTGAAGGAATAATGACTATTTAATGCTTACAAGGTCTCAGTCAGAACTTAATTTCATCAATCACACATATTTGTAAAACGCAGCAGAACGTGATACCTAAACCTGAAATACTCTGCTGATTTTGAAAAGGTATTAAAATCACAGGCAGAAATCCAACACATGATTTCGAATTTATGTAAAATAGGTGGAATTACCTACCTTCTGACATACTTCTTAAAATATGAAGGAAACACATGAGCAGACTTTTGATCTCTGCTTGATCAAGTTTGTCATATCGAACTATAGAACTTCCTAAAGTGCTGCTCTGCTGATTCTGAAAAGAAAATAGACATATTTTGGCTGAAGAGTTCTTAGACTGATAATAAAACTAAAATGTTTTAAACTGCTTTATTAATTCCTGCAACAGAGAAAAGGATCTCAGAATGGAGACAAAAACGTTTCATGTAGAGACAGGTCACTAAAACACACATTACACACATGAAGTATACCAAATTAGGGCTCTTTACCTTTGTTTATTTTTATTGCCTTCTTTGTATGAGCTTTTTTCCTCAGAGGGAGGAGTAAGAGGAAAAGTTACCTAACAGTGATTATTAATAAAATTCATTATATATAGATACCCACATTGTAGAAATCAGGTATGCCCCTTCTGCTTAGATGAAATACTTTAAAAACAAATGCTACTGTTCGGTAATACATACATGCTCCTTTGCTTTTGAAGAGACTTTATGCTGAACTGCAGACAGACCTGCCTCTACAAAATTCTTTCCAAGAACTTCAAGGAAAACATACATGAATAGCAATAATATGCATTCTGGAAGATTAACTACTGATAAGTAACTTTCCCTTGCTTCAGAAAACAAAACCAAAAAATCCATAACTTTCTCCCTGCTTCATTTGTTTGTACATTTCCTACACTTGTGGGAAGTTAATCAGCAATGCTCAATACTAAAGTCTGTTCAAAAAGAAAAAAAGTCCGTAACTGGTCTTTCAAAACGTGTATCACAAAAAAAGGAAAAAATAAAACTGAGAATATATAAATTGCACTTCAGGCAAAGACTTATCCGTAAAAAAATAACTTCCACACAATCAAGTGTTACAAAATCCTCAGTCTGATGCTTTTACAGATTTACTATATAAATGTTTGTTAAAAGGAAAAATTATGCCCTTTTTAAGTGCCTAATTCTCACTTCCAATATGAGGCCACTTAAGTGAATGGAAAACGAACCAGACATTTAATAAGTTTTCTGCAAAGTCAACAGTCTGGTATAATTGATCTGTGCAAGAAAGCTGGATCATCTTGGCTCCATAACCTTTTTAAGGACATATACCAGTGTTGGAAGAAATCTTTCATATCAAAATTAGAAAAAAATAAAAATAAAAATAGACTCAAGGGAGAAAAGCACTTGGTTTCACAAACAAAGCGAGAAGTGACAATACCTCAAGGGTAGAAAAACCCTTTCAGGAATGTGCGTGACTGAAAGCAGGAGACTTGCTAATCCATGAGGGAACATTTCACAGCATACACATCAATTGACTGCTGAGCCCTTTACCAGCATTCTGTGTAAAAGGGAAGAATTGCTGTCCCAAAACAATCTGTGTACATCTGTCAGATACTAGCAACTGAATGGATGCACAGCAAACCTGAATGCGAAACTATGACTAATACTAGCCAGCAGTTACTGTAATTTATGAGGAAATGGACACCTATATAAGCCTGATTATTGCAGATTCTAAAGACCTCACCAACTGTTTATCTTTGAAATATCTCTGATGAACAAGGAGGTGCTATTACACAGCTTTATGGATACTGAAATAGAGCAGGCAATTAATGGGTGGCAGAGCAGAAACAGAATTTGAGTTTCCTAGACTTCTGGATACTATCTGGACCACTAGATAATATACACTCTAGAACAGTTGAACACGTACATGGATAAAACTAGGACTATAGCTATTTGCAAGCTTAATTTAAAATCATGCCAATAACCTATAAAGTATGCACGTATTAAAATAGAAACTGATATACTTCCAGCCAATTCTGATTCCACAAGTATAGTTCTACAGGTTATTCTGAAAGAAAATTAGAACAGAAACATGGCTCTTCAGTAATGATATCAAGCAATAAGCAAAAACTCGAAGATAACGTGCACTGAACAACTGATCTACTAGAAAGAAAGTTTGGAAAGCAACAAATAAGAAGCCAGGATTAAGTATTATTGGGGGAAAATATTAACAGCATGCAAAACATAAATCCTGTATTACCTAAACTGGCAGACCAGAGCAGAATTTTCAAAGGATGTGGATTCCTTTGAAAACCTTTTTACTTAGTAAAAACACTACACATTAGTAATTAACAACATGACAACTAAGTAATAGATGACAGCATTGCCATTTAGCAACAGTGTATGCAAAAAATATATCTTTATTTACTTGGTCAACGTCAAAGAAGATTTTTTAGTTCTATTTATATTAAAGACCCTAAGACTCAAATTTTGCTGATATTTAAGCTGATTGGATTTTTATGCTTAAATTAAATCATGTACATGAACTATTCCAGGTTTGGCATTTACAGGTATTTTAAATGGTTACATTGTACACGTTTGGCTTGAGATTCAACTGTTGCAAAGAAGTGGCAAAACTACTGATCACACACTTCACTCAGAAGCTTAACTAAACCAAGCACAAAACCCAAATACTTCTTGTAACTGAAGAGAGAAAGCAGCATGCAAAATATTCTCTGGCAAAGCTGGAATTGTCAGAAGTGAAAAATCCATAGTAACACGGTTTTTCTTTGCAGGGTGAGAATTTTCTTCTTCTTCTCCATTAGGGCGCATTGCATAAGCAGAGTGCCTTCTGAGAAGCTTCTCTCTCTGCCACACGAAGGCATGTCAGAGTCAAGGGGAAAAAGTTAACATGTTGTGACTTGCACAACAAGATCTAAGAAAATGAAACGTGATCAGTATCAACACAAGCTCTAGAAAGACACGACTGAATACCTCATAGCTACTGCAGCCAGAGCTCCTAATTTGTAACAGCTTTGAAGTGAAATGATTTAGAAAAGTCAAACTAATATAAATCACCCAGAGAAAGCACAGCAGCCATTTTTTCAACATCTTAAAAACTCTGTGAATATTGTGTATAAAACAGGATGAAGGTCTTCACAAAATCAAAGAAGCTGTCCTAACTAGAATTCAGTTCCTTCAAGCGAAATTCAATACACTTCATCTAGCGCCTTTCTCTAGCAAAGGAAACAACTGCTTGCTTACGCTCTACGTTGAAAATTTATTTGTATTTTTTGCAAAACAGCTTAATAAACGCAATGAAAAAGAGAGTTCATATGATAATTACTTTGAAAAAGAAAAACTGCTCTACAGATATTCTAGAAAGCCCATTCCTAATGGAGATTAGAGAACTTAACTCCTATGAGAATTAAGATGAAATTCTAGGAATACACTTTGGGGATTTTATTTTGTTGGGTTTTTTTTTTTTTTTTTACCTTGTCAAGAGAATTGCTCTTGTCACTGTGTCGTTCTGGGAGACTGTTTCCCGAGTCCGTACTTATAAGAGAGCCTCTTGAGTCAGCATTCCTCACGCTATTAATATTTGGAGTTGATGTGGTGTATGGGGAAGCTAAAAAAACCCAAAACAATATAAAAATCTCAAACAACACATATACTGAAAAAAGTAACTCCATAGTTTAGTCAGACTTCTAAAACCACCAATATATGTATATATTTTTTAAGAAGCCAAATAATGAATCCCATTTAGTCACTTTTAATGAACATAAACTTACTCTAGAGTTTCAAAAAAGTATTAATGTATGTACA